GGATATCCGACATTCCGTTTCATCCGACGAACCTGTCGGAACGCTCCATTATATGTACACTCAACTCAGAAAGTAGACGAATGAATTACACTATTGAGACTGCGCTTGTTTACGTTGAACGACAAAGAAAGGCGAGCGATAGAAACGCACTGCTGTTCCCAGAATGGCATGACCTTGCAGCAAAGAAAAATAAAAACTTTCATTTACATTATGTTAAATACTGTTTTGTTTATGAGATTTTTTGATGCCATATTGTATTTCCTTCTCAATTTAGCAATATCTTAAATTGAGTATTAAACTGATTTTACGCTCATCTGATTCAATAGACCTCTGTTTTTTTTAGGGTCCCATTTAGGTCTGGACTCTGGAACCTACTGTAAATATATCACGCAGTAAACACTAAAATAGGCAACAAAATTGAGTGATTCATAGAGAAAACTGTTGATAGAAACAGCTGAGAGAAGTTATTGTAAATGTATACATCATTGGTCAGTGTGTCACTACATGACTTCATCAGCAATAAATGAACATTAACACCAAAACGCTGGAATCTACTTATGAGTCTACAGGACTAAACTTAGGATTATTTTTCGATCTGTGCTTCTGTCCAACAAATTACTACAGGCAACTTTTGTTGTCACCCAAACGTGCTACAATACTTCATAGCCAAACTCCCATTTTTTATCGTATCAGACGAAATCGAAAAGAAAGCTTCTTGTGAAGTACTTTACATTCTTCATTTTTCAAAGACGAAGTGTGTCTGAGATAAAATATAATGAGGAATTTTTAACTGTGCGCAATTTTATTTATAGAAATCTCAAAAATAATTTTATTTTTGAGAATTCTGTAAATAATATAAAATATCTGGTGGATAACACCAGATTGTTTGGATCCGGGAGAATTCTTTTTTTGTTTCTGTGGAACAGTAATATTTGTTAGTGGTAATATTGTCTTACGATGTATTGTAATTTCCGAACAATATACTGCGTCTTCTTAGTGGCAAAATAGAACGTAGTTTCGAGTTACACTGCACATAGACACATTCAGCCTATTAAAGATATCATTCCATGCTGAATTAAATTAAGTTGTCTTTGCTGCTTTTGCATACTGAAATAATTAAGTAAGTAAGTAAGTTTAGCAGGTAGCCTACCTAATACGTCGCTGGTAGCCGGGAAGTTAGACTGCCTGAAACGGAGGATGCGCACTGCGTTATTGTTTCGGAGTTTTATCATTCTGGTTGTCTCGTTTCCGAGGCTGTTTGAAGGGTAGGCGTGTTTCTGAAAACTATGTATTCCGGTAGTAGCAGTGACGATGAAGAATTATTTTATAGCTGTTTCTAAATTCTTCTGATTCTTGCAAGAATCATCTCTGCTGTATTATCAAGTGCGTACAGTAATGTTGACAAACGTTTCGGAGAATATCACCATCCTTGTAAAAAATTACGAAATTATTGAAGTCGATTTTTCGAATATTTAAGAATAGATAGGGATATAGGGATTAGCTCTATCGATTGGGCCGAACAGAGTAGGTTTTACCTGAAGACTCCCATCTCCGTAACGTCGTGCTTTTATTGATTTTATTTAATCTTGGACGATGGATAATGTACAGAAAACAATTTTCTCCATGTCATAATAGAACTTGAAACCTTTGATAAAATTTTGAGTGTGAGAAGCAAAAAGATGCACAGATATGGAAAAACTGTCATGGAAATCAAATCGTGAAGAAAGGACTTGTGCTTAAATTGAGGAGCAGTGAAATAATTTTTGTTCCAGTGAGCAGTAAT